CTGTCCAGAGATACACACAATGTATTATAAGTGTTCTCTCACTGTCAGTGTTATATACAACACTTAGTTACACCTCAACACAAGTGTTGTCTCATTATCAGTGTTATATACAACACTAAAGTTACACCTCAACATCTCTAACATGTATATTATCAATACTTCTCCACAATATACTAACAAAAATCACTTGGACACAAGATTACTCAGAGATAACCAGCAAGGATGTTTCCATGGATCTTCTTGTCTTACTAAATACATGCAATAATTTGACACAAACATAAAGGAAACACAAGAAAGGCAAAGTTTAGTGGACTATCTTCCTAATATAGGAAGATATTCACATTGGTGCTTCATACTTCATGATGGTCTGACATTCACATTGGTGCTGTATACACACACTCATGCACACGCACGCACGCACATGCATATACACACACACACACACACACACACCACACACCCACCACACAACACACAGTCAAAGTGATTTTCAAGGCAGAATCGGCTTGAAACAGGATCCTGCAGGAGAAAGCAAGACTAAGGGACATGTCGGCGTACCAGAGGGTGTATCTTCACGACAGAACACGAGAAGAAAGGCAGAAACTGAAAGAGAATACAATGACGAAGGAGGAAAGAGAGGTGTAGATGGAAATGGACAGGAGAACCCAGACTCAGGAGGAAGATCAAATACAACCACCCATAGAAACCTCCCAACCAGGACAACCCCAATGCAACCAAACATTCTAACCCAAAACACACATGCCATACCCAATGCCCCCACCAACCTCATTACGAACTCCACCTTCACAGCAACCACCCATAGTTCATCATCAGGTCTCCTGCTTCCCCAACCCCAACATACCCCTCAGATCACAGTTTTAGAAAAGAAGTTGAAGGTTTGGTATACAAATGCAGACGGAATAACAAATAAATGCGAGAAGTGGCATGAAAGAATCAAGGAGACATACCCAGACATAATAGCACTCACAGAAATGAAATTCACCAGGATGATAACAGATGCAATCTTTCCACCTGGATAACAAATCCTGAGGAAAGATAGAGGGAGCAGAGGGGGAGGAGTTGTACTGCTCACTAAAAACCAGTGGAGATTTGAAGAAATGGGAGGAATGGATGGAATGGGCAAAAGGGACTACATAGTAGGAACAATCCAGTCTGAGGGCCATAAGTAATGTACAACCCACCACAGAACTGCCGGAGGCCAAGAGAAGAATATAAAGGGAACAACAGAGCAATGGTAGACACACTAGCCAAGGTGGTCAGAAGAGCTCACATGGGTAAAGCAAAGTTACTAGTTATGGATGATTTCAATCACAAGGAGATAGACTGGAAAAACCTGCCAACCCATGGGGGTCCAAAACATGGAGAGCCAAGATGATGGATGTGGTACGGTAAAATCTTGTGCAACAACATATTAAGAGACACTACCAGAGAGAGAGGTGAGGATGATCCAGCAAGACTGGACCTAGTATTCACCTTGAGTAGTTCAGACATCAAGGATATCAGGTACAAAAGGCCCCTTGGAGCTAGTGATCATGTGGTTCTGTGCTTTGATTACATAGTTGAGCTACAAGTTGAGAGGATAGCAGGAACAGCATACAAAAAAACAAATTACAAAAGGGGGGACTAAACAGGCATGAGGAACTTCCTGCAAGACGTTCAGCGGGAAAAATAAATGGCAGGAAAACCAGTAAAAGAAAGATGGACTATGTGACAACAAAATGCAACGAGGCAGAGGAGAGGTTTGTTCCCAAGGGAAACAGAAATAATGGGAAGACAAGAACAAGTCCTCGGTTCACCCAAAAGTGTAGGGAGGCAAAAACTAAGTGCACTAGAGAATGGAAGATGTACAGAAGACAAAGGACCTAGAAAAACAGAAATTACTTGAGCCAGAAACGGACATGCACAGATTAGAAGGGAGGCTTAACAATACGAAAATGACATAGCATCAAAAGTCAAGTCTGGCCCAAAGCTGTTGTATAGCCACATCAGGAGAAAAACAACAGTCAAGGACCAGGTAATCAGGCTGAGGAAGGAAGATGGGGAGATCACAAGAAACGAAAAAGAGGCATGCGAGGAGCTCAATATGAGATTTAAAGAAGTATTTACAGTGGAGACAGGAAGGACTCCAGAAAGTGAGAATAGAGGGGTACACCAACAAGGAACTAACAAGTGCTGGATGAAATACACACAACCGAAGAGGAGGAGAAGAAGCTATGTGAACTTGATACCTCAAAGGCGGTGGGAACAGACAACATCTTTCCATGGGCCCATAGAGAAAGAGCAGAGATGCTGTGTTTACCTGGAGTTTACCTGGAGAGAGTTCCGGGGGTCAACGCCCCCACGGCCCGGTCTGTGACCAGGCCTCCTTAGGTCAGTGTCCCAGGATGCGACCCACACCAGTCGACTAACACCCAGGTACCCATTTTACTGATGGGGAACATAGACAACAGGTTGAAAGAAACACGTCCAATGTTTCTACTCTGGCGGGAATCGAACCCAGGCCCTCACCGTGTGAAGCGAGAGCATTAACCACCAGGCCACCAGAGCCCCGCTATCAAAAATCTTCATATCCACTGAAACTGGGCAACTACCTGAGGTACAGAAGATGGCAAATGTAGTCCCAATTTTTAAGAAAGGAGACAGACATGAGGCATTAAACTACAGACCTGTGTCGCTGATGAGAATAGTATGCAAAGTCATGGAGATCATCAGAAGAAGAGTGGTGGAGCACTTAGAAAGACACAAGCTTAAAAACCACAACCAGCACAGTTTCAGGAAAGAAAAATCCTGTGTCACAAACCTACTGGAGTTTTATGACAAGGTAACAGAAGTAAGACAAGAGAGAGAGGGGTGGATAGAATGCATTTTCTTGGACTGCAAGAAGGCTTTCGACACAGTTCCTCACAAGAGGTTAATGCTAGAGGTTCAGGCACGCATAACAGGAAAGGCACTACAATGGATCAGAGAATATCTGACAGAGAGGCAACAACGAGTCATGGTACGTGACGAGGTGTCAGTGTGGGCGCCTGTGATGAGTGGGGTTCCATAAGGGTCCGTCTTAGGACCTGTGCTGTTTTTGGTATATGTAAATGACATAACAGAAGGGATAGACTAAGAAGTGTCCCTGTTTGCAGATGATGTGAAGTTAGTGAGGAGAATTAAATCGGTCGAGGATCAGGCAGGACTACAAAGAGACCTGGACAGGCTACAAACCTGGTCCAGCAACTGGCTCCTTGAATTTAACACTGCCAAATGCAAAGTCATGAATATCGGGGATGGGCAAAGAAGTCCGCAGACAGAGTATAGTCTAGGTGGCCAAAGACCGCAAACCTCACTCAAGGAAAAAGATCTTAGGGCGAGTATAATACCGAGCACATCTCCTGAGGTGCACATCAACCAGATAACTGCTGCAGCATACAGGCATCTGGCAAACCTAAGAGTAGCATTTCAATACCTCAGTAAGGAATCATTCAAGACTCTGTACAACATATACGTCAGGCCCATATTGTAGTATGCACACCAGTTTGAAATCCACACCTGGTCAAGCATGTAAAGAAATTAGAGAAAGTGCAAAGGTTTGCAACAAGAATAGTCCCGGAGCTAAGGGGGTTCTCCTATGAAGAAAGGTCAGGGGAGACATGATAACATATAAAATACTTCAAAAATAGACAAGGTGGACAAAGACAGGATGTACCAGAGATGGGACACAGAAACAAGGGGTCACAATTGGAAGTTGAAGACTAAGATGAGTCAAAAAGATGTTGGGAAGTATTTCTTCAGTCATAGAGTTGTCAGGCAGTAGAATAGCCTAGAAAGTGACACAGTGGTGGCACGAACCATAGTTTCATAAAGTTCATGGAGCAGGGAGAGATAGGACCTAGTAGCAATCAGTGAAGAGGCAGGACCAGGAGCTATGAATCGACCCCTGCAACCACAAACAGGCGAGTACACACAGTATGATAAACCTCGTGGAGCAGGGAGAGAGTGGACCTAATAGCGACAAGCGAAGTGGGGGGGAGGGGTAGAACTACGAATCGACCAACTGCAGCCACAAACAGGCGAGTACACACACACATACATACAGTGGACCCCCGCTGTTCGGCGGCCACGACTTTCGTGAAATCCGACTTTTGGCAAGTTTTTTCGGCAAAATTTTGCTTCGCAGTTCGTGATTGGACTTGTGATTCGGCGACCGTCCGGTACGCGTCCGCTCATCACTGTGCACACAAAGCCAGTCTCCCGCACCATTAACCCTCAGTGTGCCACTGTTTACCAGCACGTGACCATCACCCCGCAGGTTCATACAATACATTTCATAATAATCTGCTGTTTTTTGTGCTTGCAACTGCTAAATAAGTCACCATGGGCCCAAGGAAAGCTAGTGCCAGCCCTATGGTAAAGAAAGTGAGGAACAAGATCGAATTCAAGAAGGAAATCATTGAAAAATATGAGAATGGAGTGCGTGTTACAGAATTTGCATGGATGTATGGCAAACCCCATTCAACCATCACTTCGATCGTGGCGAAGAGAAAGGAAATAAAGTGTGCTGTTGTTGCAAAAGGGGCAGATATGCTGACAAGAGAGAGATTGCAAACCCTCGAAGAAGTGGAAAGGTTATTGTTGGTGTGGATTACCCAAAAACAGTTAGCAGGAGATAGTATTATGCAGTCGATATGTGAAAAGGCAAGGCAGTTGCATGACGATCTCGTAAAGAAGATGCCTGCAACAAGTGGTGATACTTGTGATTTTAAGGCCAGCAAAGGTTGGTTTGAGAGATTTAAGAAGCGTAGTGGCATACACAGTGTGGTAAGGTATGGTGAGGCTGCCAGTTCTGACAAAAAAGCAGCTGAGAAGTTTGTACAGGAGTTTAAGGGGTACATAGACACTGAAGAATTCAAGCCCCAACAAGTGATCAATTGTGACAAAACAGGCCATTTTGGAAGAAAATGCCAAAGAGGACCTACATCACGCAGGAGGAA